ATATATATATATATATATATACTTTTATTTATTTCCATTCTGTGATGTCTTGCTGGCCTGGGGAGGCAGAGAGGATCCCTCCTAAAAACGCTCTGCTGCCCGAGGCAGAAACAGGCCCAAGATCTCTTCACATAAATAACACAGGAGCATGGAGGAAGCCCATTTGGTGGTCTGCTGGAGGGATAGAATCGAGGGCTTCAGCCCACGGTTCAGTCCTTCTATTTTTTCATTCTCCGAGTCTCAGAGGTCTAACAGTTTGGCCGAAGCAGGATAAAACAGCAGGAACTGGAGGAGATTGGGCCAAGTTGTACATCTGAGTGGAAAGCAGACTTCCAATAGCCTGCGGGCCCAGACCAGACACCGTGGATACTGTGGACAGCATCAAACTAATCTGACACATGGGACTCACAGATTTACAAATATTATAGCAAAGAATGAAATGTGTAAACAGATTACTCAGCAACTAGAATACATCATTTATAACATGATGTATTTCTTTTTTTTAACCYGTCACATTCAAACTGCTATAGGTTTGTATTTAAGTTAGGTTCTGGAAGCTTCWTTAGGATCACCCTTCCTCCCGGCTGCAGGAAGCAACCTCTCCAAACTGTCCTTATTTGGAAAGCCCTCTGAAGCCTTATTGTTACTGTTGCAATAAGAACAATGTATCTAAAAGGGGTGGAAGACAGGGACAAGGAAAACACTAAATAAAGACATCTGGCTATTAAAAATAATCTGATAGAGGCTATTTTTTTTAACATTTGCATCATGGAAATCTTTGTCAGTGACATTGATGCCTTTGAAGTAGGTTTAAAAAAAGTTGTATTTAGTACACATTGTGTGCAGAAGCTAATTTATAGGAGCTGACCCAGGCTTCTCTTTTGTGAACCAGCCATCTTGGAAAACAATGGCAGGAAGGCTTCAAATTTGAGAGGAACTGAATCTGCTGCTTTTCCATTTATTCTGCTCTCGTTCAGTGGAGAAATGTCCCTCCCTGTGTAAAATAGCTCTGCTTTTTTCACGTCCAACAGGAGTCATAAACTGATGTCTAAGCATACCACGGTCAGGCGATAGGGCCGGCTTTAACTGGACACATGGGGACAGTTGTTTTGTACCACATGGGGTGATTTTGAAGGGGGGGCTGACAGAGGAAGCCATTGCTGCCTGGCGACCCCGTGGTGACCCAGTGGCCTCCTCATGGAGGGATCAAGGCCTAGAAGGGAGCCGGCTGAGGGTTAGAGGTTTAAGGGTAACAAATCAAGCAACACTTTAGCGGTATTTAACCCCCACATACCATATCTCTCTAACTGCATGAACAGTCTGTGGCTGGGTGAGGAAAAAAAAGAACACTTATTTTTATTTTGCAAGTTAAAGTTCTGTTCTGTAAAACAAAATGTTTTCACAAAGTTCAGACAACAGAACCCCCTTAACTTACATTTTATGTTCCTCTAAGGTGTGTTTTGATTTATTTTCCTGCAGGACAGCACATGAGATTAGCAACAATATCCAAAGCTCCTGTGCATTTGGAATATGGAAAATGATTCCTCTTTTACACAAGGTTCTTCACCTTTTCTTTTGCTCTACTTCTGCCGTTTTGTGCGCCGTAAAGCAAAAGACAGAGACCTCCTATAGGCTGTGCATATCAGACTCTAAAAGCATCACTCAACTTTATGTTTTGGTTCCCCGAGCCCAGCTGTGTTTCTTCCATTAGTATCTCCTCATAAAACCTACCGAGGTTATAAAAATGAGCAACAGACGATCACTAGATAGTCATCCACCTTTACATAGTAATCAGGTGGTTCTATGTACCTGAAGGCACTCACGGCCAAAGAGGTGTAGTAAAGTATATAAAATTCAATGTGCTAATCCTGAGTGCAAGAAAATATAAGTAATAGTTTGGTAAAACATTTATTAAAGTCAAAGAGACACAAAAGTACTCAGAGACATTTCTTGTTTCTTATATGTTTCACTGAACTTTATCATGTGGCTTCATTTTTTTTAAACACTAGCATTTTATTTTAGAAAATTGACACACTTGGATGTTTTCAATAATAAGTGGTTAAAACTGTCAAACACTGTTCAGGATTTTCTCACATTTTTCTCCAAACAAATGATTAATCCATTAATCACAATCATATAAATATACGGACTTTAAACCCCCATTTAAATTATTATATCAGGTTTATTTATTAGTAATTACATAATACAAAACCATTGACAAATTGTAAGTATATGCCAGAGGAAAATTTACTTTTAATTACTGTACAGAAAAAAATAAACATATTAAAAGAAAAAGGTCAGTGTGAGGGCAGCTTTTATCAGAAATGATCCTGTTTACCCCCTGCAGAGTGACTGAGAGGGCACTGAGTGATGCAGGTGAGAGGCAGGCGTCTACCAAGCCCCCAGACCGCACCTCTCTTATCTGCCAATGGAAGGAGGAGGAAGGAGTGACAAAGGCCAGGGCTTTGGATGTGATAAGCAAGGGTCCTTATGCCCTGCTCTGGTCCTGGTGTGTACCATGGCCGTCCACAGTGGGAAGCCATCTGGCAGAGTCTGGCTGTGCACCGCTGGATATGCAGAACGCTGTTGTGTTTACATCAGGCTGCTTTGTTGTGGAGAATGACAGGAAGAAAGCGAGATACAAACGGAGAAAGAGGGTCAGGTGGAGTTCAGGGCAGATCTTTGCCATCTGATCTTATGCTGCAGGAAAGCCAAATTGCTTCCGGATCTATAGCAGGAATCCACCCTCACTTAGTTCAGTGTTTCTAACCTTCCCACCTTCCTGTCGCCCCTGTACTCTATTCCACATCCAATCCTTTTTCATTTTTTATCCTCTTTACGGCCTTCTTCTGATCGCTCCTTCTGGGTGGTGTGACAAAGTGTGACGATGTCTGTAGGAAAACAATCTTTGAGTAGGATACCTCGATCTCTCTGGCAGTCCAGCTCTCCTATGAAACCATACCAGTAGATCACAAGACCAGGGCCAAACCTGCAGCACAAAAAAAGTGGTTTTGTTACTAAAACACATATACTTTCACATTTCTAGCAACACAATGCTTTTAAATATTAACTTTGAAAACAGGAGATCCACCGAAAGAGCTGAAATAAGTGAACCAATGAATGTTTTGCAGTAAATATTGTATGTTAGCTTTGATGTATTCTTTTGATCACCAAACAGGAAATGTGCTGAATAAAACAAAAAAAGGCCACTTAGTAGATAAGGAAGTTTTGAAATAGTTGATACTCTCTCAATCAACAATGGCAGTGAAATAACAATATTCTTAAAAATAACAAACACTGCACCAAAGGCCTCTGAATCCTGTCATCGGAATCTTTTGGCACATAGCGAAGCATGCAAAGGTCAACACAAAGTCTGACTGAAACATCCTGCAAGGGGTGCTTCATGTCTGCCAGTCCGACAGCGTTCAGCAGTTTGATTCACATGCACTTTGACAGAAAAAGAAACTGTATCTTAATTGGCTACAACTGCATTTTCTAATGGGAAAAATAAAATAAAAACTTCACACTGTTTCAATATATATTTTCCCTGCCTTTTCCGTACCTCCTGCAGTAATATATTTGGAGCTACTGTATGTTGAGGAAAACCATAGCTACTGTATATTTTAGGTTCTGCTATAGTTTTGAGATATTTACTAGGAAAGTGCAAAGTTATTTTACTACTTCTCTAAGAAAATAAATCTTCTGTCAAGTTATTTAATAAGCCCCAAAGAGCCAGCCATGGCCCTTTCTGCCTCATATAGATCATTTCTATTCTTTGAACATTCGTTGTCATGCATAAAAGACATGTTTGAGTTGAACTCTGACTGCAGAGCCCTTCAGCCCCAATGTGCATGACCTGTTTCAGGGGGGCTGACAGCGTTCTGGTTCCAGATACTCCACTCGCAGACAGTTAACAATGCTGCAGGGCCTCTGGAGAACTAGAAAGGAAGCGAACCAAAGGGCCACAGAGCGCAGTGGAAGTTCAGCTCCAAGGTAAAGTACATAAAATCTTGAACACGTGATCCATCATTTCACGCTACATTTTTGACCTAATCACATAAATAGGTTTTTTGATAGTGATAGTTTTGAACTTTTTGCATTTTTTGTGCGAATATATGAAATATATGATATTTGAGATTATTTTATATGTATAAGCAGCTGACTTTTGATGAAATACTGTAAGAACATAAAACCAAAATATGCTCTTCTGACTGATTTGTTGTGTCGTTGTAAAATATGCCGGCACCGTGCTGTGTTGACCAGAGCCTTGAGGCGGTGCATGTTTTACATACAGCACTTCTGTGGAGACACATGTACAAGAAAATATGTGACCATACACGCACACCCCTCCCTTCAAGAGGCCCTTGCATGCTCCTGCACTCCATCCTATGCCTTTACAGTGCATGATTTACGGTGTAGTATCTATGAGCGAATGGGCCAGAGCGCTAACAGCCCTGCAGATGCACACTGCAAGTTCACCACAATGTCACACTCGTAGCTCAGCCTCTCGGCACCGCACAAGCCCCCAAACCCCAAAACTCTCATCATCTCCATGGTCCACTGCTCTACATGGCCACCAATTCTTAATATGGAAATGTTATGAAGACACAAGCTAAACATTTACATTAGACGACTTCTGAAAAGAGGTTATGCTCTACTTTTCATTCAGCCACCATGCTATATGTATTTCCTGTGCTCTGGCGGGGAATGCGTGGCTGGAAAGAGGGAGAAAACGGAGCTTGCTCTCAACAGAGCAGAGAGGGGCAGCCCTCTGAAAAGGTTAAAACTGTACATCAACAGATAAGGCAGCGGTGCACGATACATCATGTCCCAGGACTGTCAGGGGAGGCCAAGTACAAATTGAAACTAGCAAAATTATAAACACTGGGGAGCCATGTCACCAAGGCCTTTCCATACCGTAAAGAAAATAAATGGACTTTGAAACCTACTCAACATTAATACAAGTCAATACTACAAGGACCTTGAGGTAAAAAAAATCAGAGTCAGGGAATAGAAACAATAACAAAGTGGGAGGCTCAGGGGGCAAAGACTATGCCTGATAGCTACAGCAAGATTCTAAGTTGGAAGCGGTTTCAAACATCGTCCAAACTATAAATATGAAGCTTTATATACTACTATTACGTTTAGGCAGTGACTGTGTATTGCTCAAGGAAGTGAATGAAAGTTCAGTTTAAATTTGTAAGCAAATGAAGATCTAATATGTAGGCTAACTTATTGCAACCTGGCATGCGCTTATTACACACAACCTCAAAGTCAGACTCTGTCATCTTCCAATAAACACCTAACTCTGTAACAAGATGGTGAAATTGTTTGTGAAATGCACTTAATTTCCACAAGAAAGCCACTTGACAAGCTTGGGCGTGGATTGGTGTTGCCAGCCATGCTTTCGTTAGTGTTAATGAGCGGCTGGTGGTCACATTTCCAGCAGGGGCCAAGCATCATACTATTGCAGCTTAATGAGAGCAAGGCACTCAGGAACAAAAAAAAAAAAAACAACCCTTGAATGGTGAAGAGGCAGTGTTATTAACCGCCTGTGCACACGCAACACACCATGAAGCGAAACCTCCCAACAGAGCCGAGGACAGAATGACATCTTTGCATCCAAATTAAAAGTGTATACATGCAGTAGTTGTACAGAACTGTGTTTCAAATAAACAACTGCAACAAAGAATGCAATCATTTTCCAATCATTTGAACCCAGYTTTAATGGAAAACAGCTTATATGTCAACTGCTAAAGTTAACAAAACTTGTAGTCTTTTTAATCTTATGCTAGCAACAGGTAAAAAAAGGAAATAGAGGCATATTTACTGTGTTCCATCAATTTTTTGTCACACTGAATGAAAGTTTAGGAGTTGCAAAAAGCAATTAGTGTAGTGCTGAAAGTGAAGTATTTTTCTGTACTTGTATCATAAATTGTTTCTGCTTCTCATGAGTCAAGGTCCATTATTTAGCACAATGCTATTTTAGTACATATATATACACTCACCGGCCACTTTATTAGATACACCTGTCCAACTGCTCGTTAACACTTAATTTCTAATCAGCCAATCACATGGCAGCAACTCAGTGCATTTAGGCATGTAGACATGGTCAAGACAATCTCCTGCAGTTCAAACCGAGCATCAGTATGGGGAAGAAAGG